CTAATAAAAACAATAAAAAATAAAAAAGCTTGTAAAATGAAACAATTGATTTTTAACCGCATATTTATTTATATACATTGTATAGTTAGAGTTATCAACTCTTGGTTTGTATTGATTATAATAAAAATTACAACTATGACCACCAATATGTCCCACACAACAAAAAATATAACCATCAAGTCCTAAAACAGCACATGACTTTTGATATGGTGTTTTTCCATTAATTAACTTCCAAAAACTTACTAAAAAAAGTAATTAATTTATTTTAATTCGTTTCATAGCTTTTTTGTCAGATATTAATTTTCGTTTCTGACCTTTCTTTTTATTAAAATCAATTATATTATTGTCATATTCTTCTTCTTCTTCTTCAATATCATCATTACCATCTTTTTTTAAATGCATATAAACTTTATCCAACAATCCATCGGGGTTTAATAAAGTACAATCTATATTTCCTTTTTGCAATATTTTTGATAGAAAATAATCTTTTCTTTGTATCTTTCCATGAATAAAATGAAAAAAATCAGCTTTGCTATAATCCAGTATTAATTTTGCTAAGGTTAACTTGAACCTTACACAATAAATGCACTTTTGGCAGTTCTGAAATTTACTTTCGCAAAGTTCTTTAAATATGCTCATAACTCTATATTTTTCAAAATAGATCATAATTTTTTCCTAGCAAAAAAATTAACATAAAAATCTCTTATACTTTTTCAAAACCCGTACCCTGATTTTTGTACTGAGATAGCCTTGTGGGAGGTCGACGCGAATTTTCACCTGTGTGCCCAGAGGCAGCCAAGTATCCCCATTGGAAAAGAGGGGGAGGAATGGGCGAAACTTATACTGAAAGTTCCCGCTGAGGACACGAACAATATTTTCTTGCACCGTATTAGAGAAGGCTTTCGTTGAAGAGAGCTGGACACCAGGCACCCTTTTGTGAGGGTATTATCAGCATTAAAGTCAGGGTCGTCTCTGCCTGCTGTGTTTGTCGATAAGGCATAGCCAACGCGACGGTCTACTCCATAGGAGTAGGTCTGCAAGGGGAGAGCTTTCAAAGCCTTCTTGGGATCCAGCTTCTGCAAGCCGAATAAGTCACTATCCGCGTATTGCAACTTACCGATCGAGCTCTCCATAAGACTCAGGATGTGCTTAACCGGCTGCATATCAGCCATGACGCCACTCTGCATAACCTCTTGTCCGTTGAGCTCCACACGGATGTTTTTTACCAAACTAAAGGCTGGGCTCGTGGGAGTGATCTAATTTGGATTATCGCCCGTGTTTGGGTGGTTGCGATTGTCTTTTACCTCGTACCGCATCTTGACGATGAAATACGATTCCGAAAGCGCCATAAATTTGTTTGCCGAGCTGATGTCTATCCCAGTCAAGAGACTTGGATTGTCCAGATAGAGAGTGACCCTAGCTCGCCCCTCAAACCGGGAGACCTTATTATCGGTCCTCTCCTCGATGGCATCCTGGACTACCTTCACAGGTGACAGCAGACCACGGAAGGTCTCGGGGATTTTGGATGTGTCAAGAGTCGTCGCCATTGTTCACCTTTGGTAAATGCGTCAGTAGCTTGTCCCTCCAATTGGATATAAGGGGGTTGTTTGGTCATGTTTACGATGCGGGTTAAGGACCTGAACACTTCGGGAATGGCGATTTTCGTCGAAAGTGCCAGTTTGAGCTCCATTATCTGAATGTCAGGCCTGAAAGCAGCATACACCCAATTTTCTAAATTCTAATACCTGCAATATATATCGACAAGAGTACGAGGACACCAACACATGACAAACCTACGGCACCCACGAACTAAAATTCACGAACATTCAGCAGCGTGCACCAAGGCTTACTTCATGTAATGTAAACTGCAAAATCAAAGTTATTTGGGAATCAACTGTTCATAACATGGCGTTGGAAAGACACAAATTTTGCCTAAATTAATGTACCCTCCCATGAGAAAGTTGATGTTGCACTCCATACAAAGTGATTCTCAAAAGGACGAATCCACTGTAAAAGGGCTTCATTTCCATTTTCCTTGCTCAGCTTTGTCAATACTTTTCCAATTTCTAGAATGAAGTAACAAATTTATTTTACACTTTCAAAACAGAACGCAACGTACATCTTTTATACAATAACTGTACTAACTTTTCTTAATGTGCCATAGGTCAAAATAATGTGTTATTTGATTCAGATTCTCACGCATGTACTTCTGTATTGATTTGTGGCAGTTTGTCACCATGGTAGAAATATAGTCTACAGTTCAGCATGTAATCCATACATCTTTGAAAATTGATGTATTCCATGGCTGGACTACTTCCCACCTTGTTTCTCTAAAATAATAATTGTGATTTAAACAGAAAAATATTTACATGTGTCCTAAGTTAGAGTTAACAAAGTGGTATCCCTGTCTTCCTGAGGTAGCTTTACACCCTATCTCTCAAAATATAGCAGATACTATTGCCTCTAGACAATTTGTGTCTGAAAACATAGGTTGAAAATATGAGAAGGCATACTTCCCATTACAAAAACATCTCAAACAAAATCCCAACATCATACATTAGTCATAAAAAGTAGGGGGTGGGGTAAATATAGCCACCCTCAATGTGTCTTATAAAGTAGGGGGTGAGGTAAATATAGCCACCCTCAATGTGTCTTACAAAGTAGGGGTTGGGCTAAATATAGCCACCTCAATGTGTCTTACAAAGTATGGGATGGGGTAAATATAGCTACCCTCAATGTGTCTTACAAAGTAGGGGGGGGTAAATCTAGCCACCCTCAATGTGTCTTACAAAGTAGGGGGCGGGGTAAATCTAGCCACCCTCAATGTGTCATACAAAGTAGGGGTGAGGTAAATATAGCCACCCTCAATGTGCCATACAAAGTAGGGGGTGAGGTAAATATAGCCACCCTCAATGTGTCTTACAAAGTAGGGGGTGGGGTAAATATAGCCATCTCAATGTGTCATACAAAGTAGGGGGTGGAGTAAATATAGCCACCCTTAATGTGTCATACAAAGTAGGGGTGGGGTAAATATAGCCACCCTCAATGTGTCATAAAAAGTAGGGGGTTGGGTAAATATAGCCACCCTCAATGTGTCACACAAAGTAGGGGGTGGGGTAAATCTAGCCACCCTCAATGTGCCATACAAAGTAGGGGGTGAGGTAAATATAGCCACCCAGTTAAAGAGTATAAAACTATTAAAAACTAAAAAATGCAAAAAAAAAGAATGGATAAGTAGGTAAATGACATACCCTTTTTCTTTTAAAGTGCACCTCCAAGCAAAATTTTTTATTGGTTATATCGAATCTATGTATGATGGCCAGCATATACGCGAAAAATTTTTTAAATCGGTTATATCTTTCCTTTTTTATGGCGGTTTGAAGTTGACAAAAATGCACTTCTTGATGGACCATGTCCGTCGTTACAAGAACCTGGAACGAGCAAATTTTATGACGTCACGCAAGGTACTCGTCAAAGTAAGGCCGTTGTTTCTAAATACATTACGTGCAGTTTTTGAAAACTAAAAACATGGTTAATAGCTGTGTGGCGGCAAATTGCACGAATAAGTCATGTCTTAGTTCCGGTATAAGTCTCCACATAATACCCTACTTTAATGACAATCGACCTGAAGCCAGGAGAAGAAGAAAAATATGGGTTGACTTCGTCAAAGCAAAACGGGTCTTTGAACCTTCGAAGACGTCGACCCTTTGTTCGTCACATTTTACGCCCGAGGATTTCGAGCGACGCTTTGCTATTTTGCCTGGTCAAACAAAGCCGAATTACCAGAAGCTAAAGAGCGATGATCTAGGGGTTTGTGTTTATCCCAGCATACATGCTGTGGCGGTGAAAAGTTCCAGTGAAGTGGTCGTGCAAAGTGCTAGAGATAGACGCATGGTGAGTAAGTTTTGATTTGATTCAACATATTTTTGTTTTGAATTTATTTGCAATGTTTAGTCCTACTATGTAATTTTACTTAAAATATACATTTTCTTTTCATGTGAAGATGATAAAAATTATGCAGCAAGGAAAGGCATGTCCATCTGAAGCATCAGGGTTGCCAACGGCAATGGGTATGATTTGCTTTCATAAAGATGCCAATATTTTTTCTGTGAGAAAACTAATCTAAAGGTTAATCATTTTAATAGGTATTCAGTGTAAGAAAAGAAAGCTTGAGACAAAGGAAAGGCCTAATGAAATTATTATGGATGAGCCAGTAAATGTAATTATTATGTTCCAACATGTTCAGGTTTGTGCTCTATAATCAAAGTTAATCAGTGCTTTATTATTCTCTTAGAATTCCTCAGAAACAAGAGAAATGAAAAATCTTCAAGAAAGCAACCGAAGACTCAAAAACAGAATAGTTTCTTTGCAAACATCTGCACAAGGAAACAAATACAAAGTGAAGCAACTTAGACGCAAAGGTGAGCCCCATATTTCACACACATTTTGCAATCCAAAAAGCTAAACATATATAAAGCAGTATTGTTTGATTTCTAGTAAGCCAGCTTGAAGAACGTTTGGAGGGAAAGTTGATGTTTGAAGATAGCAGTGGGAAGGAGCAAAGTGAAAGGGGGGCAGAGGTGATTGAAGATGACAACTTAGACAGCAATGATGAAGGGGAAATCATGGAAGAAGCAGATGATGAGTATGATCCTTTCTATGAGGGGAGAATGCTAACATTGAAGATGATGAAGAAGAGCTTATTGAAGAAGATTCAGAGTTAGTATTTCCTATTTTCTTATAGTTTAAATATTTTACATTGGAATTGTTTGACATGCTTACTCAATAGCAGCTTAACTGCGATTTGCGAATTCATGTTTTTTTCCTGCTATATGAAATATTTTAGAAAGACATTAAATAATAAAAATTTTGTTCATGACTTTGTACTTTTGCTTCAACTAGGTCATTGCAAGTTACTGGGAATCTGCGGACAGAACCCAAACACATTGTGTTTCTCTCACAACTGTTGCTACTTTTTAATTTTTGCCACGCCTGCAAGACTGAAAATCCAATAGTTGAAGCTAAAACTGTTGGGTCTAATGTCATAATAAAAACAACTTGCCATAACCCAAAATGCCCTGAAGAAACTAAAACATGGCAAAGTCAACCACCAATGCCTGGATATCAAAAAACCCGTGCTGGAAATTTTTTATTGTGCATGGCAGTACTGCTTAGTGGTGGATCATTCACCAAGTTGAGACAAACTTTCTTGAACATGGGTATTGGATGTGTCTCTCACAGTACTTACTTTCATTATCAGCGGGTGAGTATGAACAAACCATTTTACAAGAATGAGAAAAAAAGTTTTCATTGTAGCAGGATTTCTGAATCATGTGCATTCAGAAATATATTTTAATTGATTTGTAATCAATTTTCTAGACTGTGCTGTTCCCCACCATCTATCTGTACTGGAAGAATTATCAATCAAAGTTGTTGGAAAAGGCAAAGCAAATAAAAGATGGTGTGGTCCTTGCAGGGGATGGGCGGCATGACAGCATGGGTCATTCAGCCAAGTTCTGTGCATACACAATTTTTTGTTGCACATTTGCAAAGATCATTCACTTCAATATTGTGCAGGTAACAAAAAATGTACATTATTAACAATTGATAACAATTACTTAAATTTACTTATGAGGTGTTGTTTTGTTTTTTTAGAGAAACCAGGCCGGAAGTAGTCCAGCAATGGAGTTCATGTCGTTTAAATTATGCATGGACTACCTTCTTACATCTGCTGTTCCCATTACCACATTCATCTCTGACAGGCATACCTCAATTGCAAAATATATGCGGCAAGATTTAAAGAATATCATACACTATTTTGATGTATGGCACTTGAAAAAAAGTAAGTGTATTTGATTTTCTATTCAGGCCTCTTGAAAGTATGAAGTCGTCACTGAACTATTAACATCACTGAATGTCTATAAAAGAGGAAGTATTGTTTCACTGTCATTGTTTCCACTTTTTGACATAATTTTTCTGGTTGGATGTTCTGTTACATACAGAAATTAGGAAAGTGCTTTCCAAAATTGCCAAAGAGAAGGACTGCGAGGCATTACATGATTGGATCAGGCCAATTGAGAATCACCTGCATTGGAGTGCCACCTCAACATTTGATGGGAATGGCCTTGTTATATTGGCCAAATTCAAGTCATTCCTACAACATATTGTAAACATACACTCATGTCACAGTAACCCGTTGTTTGCAAAATGTGCCCATGGTAGTAGCATTCCAGATAGAAAGTGGCTGACCGTTGGTAAGTTCAAATAATGTATATATATTTTGTGTAAACTGTGTACAATGAACACTATGCCAAAGATCAAAATATGACATTATTTCTTAGTACATGTACAAATTGTGGTGCAGCCAGCCACACTTAACTTGACCAAATCTGGAGGCTAGCAATTTTAATTTATACAAGTACAGGTTTAATATAAAATGGAGTTACATGATTTAATTTGTTTTATATCTAGATTCACCCTTCATAAAAGATTTGCAATGCTTTGACAAACAAACGACTGGTAGATGGGATCAAACAAGCTTCTCCATTAGAACAAACTAGCTGTTTGGAGGGCTTTCACAGTGTTTTAAATCATTTTGCCCCCAAAATGATTGCATACTGTTATGCTGGACAGTATTGCAGGTGGGAAAATGAACTATCATTTACTAAAATGTCTGTTGTTACTAGTTATAGTTGTATATAATACCTTTTACTCAAAACACAGTTTTTCTTTTTATTAAAGGACAAATAAGATGAATGCAAAGAGCAATTGCAATTTATGTGAATCCTGTTTTTAGGCATATTTTAGCTGTTGTGCACTTTAACAACAACCTCAGGAGAGAAATCAAAACAAATCCTGACCAATCAGAAAGAGTCAAAATTAGCTACCCAAAGTTTAAAAATGGGGAGGCCATAATTCGAAATGTTACAGTTGCACAGAATTTTGGTAAGTTTTTGATTATCTAGATGATGTAATCCTGTTGTTTGAAGATGTTTGGAAATAAAGACATTAAACATTATTTGCAGGATATGTGCAAGACATTTATGAGAATTTTCTGTCAGCTAGCAAGAGGGACATGGCTGATGCAATGGTAAAGCTGAAAGAAATGTGCCCGCCTCCAATGAATTCAATGCTTACTAAGCAAACAAAGCAAGAAGCATTGAAGAAAAAGTCTGACAGGATGCAAATCACTGTCCAACATTTTCAACCCAGTATTCCAGGTAAGATTTTTATGCTAAAAGATTGTTGTTCATAATTTGTTCTAGTTTTGACTAAACCACATTCAAATTTGGATTTGTACTCAGTGAACATGTAAACACTAGATAAATTTAGTTGTCAAAACCTGGAAAGCTTAATTTGTCTTTTGCAGTGTTACAATATCAAGAACAGTTGAGGAGAGACAACAGTAAAGCAAGTACTGGTGATGTGACACCCAGACATTGCAGAACATGTGGACAACCAATGAGGGGTCACAAAAATGTCAAAGATTGTCCAAAAAACTATAGCTAAAGGAGCATCAACCTACCAATTTAGTTTTCACCTGTCCATAAAATTATAAGCAATACCTCTTTTAAGATCTATATTCTACAACGCACTCTCACCCCAGCTTTTTTTTACATTTTTGCATTCTTTATACATCTTGGAAAATTTAACTAATCTGAATCATCAGAATATCCAGTAAAATTTTCTTTATCAACTACTGGAAATGTTTTTCTTATTGCCATGTAGGCACATGCAGGTAGTGGGAATCGCCTATTACCAAGGAGACCATATACCAGTCTTGTAAATTCTCTATAGGAGATGCTGCGTAGAAAGCTAAAATAGAAACTTCAGTATTAGATTATGTGAATTAATGAAGTCCATTGTGGGATTATATGTTTTATGATTTGTTCATGAAAAGAACTACCTATTCTGTCCTGAAATTCTAGTGTATTTGCTTTTATTTTTCGTTTTCAACTTGCTGGCAGCCATCTTCAAACTCCACTTTTCAAGGCATACGGAGTTAAATCCAGGATGTTGAATGATGCATTTCGCATTAATTATACCTTCGGCTTGGAGATCGCTAATCACTTCGTCGCTTTTCATTGCTTCATGGCATCCATCAAGTTCAAAACAACAATGGCATTCGTTATTGTTTACGAGTAGCGTCACATCACAATTTCCGCACTGACACCACTCGTCCACTTTTACAGAGCCATCCAGTCTTTTGCCGAGCTTTTCTTGTAGTTCTAAACGTTTTTGTTCCTGACTGTTGTAATTTTCCAACCACTCTTCGTCTGCCAAAGGCTCGTCAGCATATGCTAGGCCCACGTTTTCTTGATTAAAATCTTTGTTAGAATTTCTAACCTCAGAACATTCGATCATGTAACCGGGAATAAAATTAATATCGGAGTCGTCAGACTGATAATCCTCCGAATCACATTCCCAATCTATTACATCCTTATCCATGATAGCTCTGACAAAAACAAACTACATCTTCGTCCGACCACGTGCAACAAGATTGTATATGCCTAATAAGCGCATTTATCTGAGACAATCAAAGAAAAAAGCCGACTACCTTGCATGACGTCAGAAAATGCGCTAGACACAGACTCCTTGATACGACGGACAGTGTCCTCAAAGGCCAATTTTTAAACCGCCATAAAAAAGGAAAGATATAACCGATTTAAAAAATTTTAACCACAAATCAAGATGAGTCCTAAAATGCAACATTCGAAAAATTTATAAGCGTTGTCTAAACTCAAAAAAAAACAATATCATAGAAAGTGACAATGTCATAGGACCAGTTGTTATAGAATTGATACAACTGCCAAATGTGATATTCAAACCAAAGACATACTAGTACATGGCATTTACTATTTTAATATCTGAAATGAAACCAAGTGATTGCTACATAATATTTGTCCATATTGAGACAAGGGAATGTACAAGGGTACATCCAAATAATTATGTTTTATTGGTTACCAAATTTGTACATGAAGAACAAATACAAAACAGTTACAAAAGTAAAGAACATGACAGCTTTTTTTTACAATTATGTAAAAAAATAAATTTAGTTTTAATTACTCAATACCTAACCTCATATCCAGTTCAGTATCTTTGTATGTATTTTTTAGAGAGGGTGATTGATGTTTCTTTACTGGAGTTTTGAACTTTCTGTTTAGTAGTTTCATGGTTCTTGTTAGAGGAATATTGTTTTTACCACTAACATATGGACTGTTCTTGATACCCTGCTTTGATTTAACATCGCATTTTGGTTGTTTTCTGGAAAAGCCAATATAGCCAAATAGTTATATTAAACTTATTGCATTTTGACAAAGGCTAAAGCTTGTTAGGAAATCACCCAACTTTCCTGCAAATATTGCCTGATTGCCCTTGTTTGTCCAACAATCTGGCAGTACAACCTCCTGCCTCCCTGTCTAAATCCACACATACATTGTTGTTTGTTTTACACAGCATTGTAATTAGTTCTTACCTCTTGTCCAATCTCCATAGTTGAAGTTTTTGTCTAATAAATGGAAATGTTTGAAGTCAATGCAAATACAATATGACAAGGCCTTCATTAAACTATCATGTGACATAAATATACGAAATATGGCTACTTCAAGTTTGACGAACCATTTGTGAAAATTAGTATAACATAATAATACGATTAGTTCACAAAATCACAAAGGAAGTTCACAGATAATCAAACCTCAAAATTTTGTGAAATTAAAACTTTTGTCGTTCTCATAGGTATCCCTTTTATGTCATAAAACGATCACGTTTACGCACGGTAAGTCTTTTGCCACCTCGTAAACAAGTCTTGATAATAGCCAATTTCATCTCAGAATACATAAAATTAATACTAGTGCATTACGCCTAAAATTTTCATGGTGCTTTGCAAATGATCGTTGACAAAATCATCATACCTAAACTGCAATGATTGGTCTGCTTCGTCTGGTCGCATCTCCATATCTCTCTTTTTCATCGCAAACTGACTTTAACCTCGTAATACTCAATAGTCTCTACACTATTTCATCATAGAATAGTAAAAATTATCAGTAAATTATTCGACGACTTTGTTTCGTTACAATTCGTAATTTCGTTTCTTCGTAAAACAACTTAAAATTTGAATTTTATTTACACGCTATAAACAAAAATTCGTAACGCTGATTGGTCAATAGTCACGTCACGTGCCCTATTTAACGTTCTTCTGTAACAATTTAGTCAATGGTTCAGTGACTGAAGAGAAATTAGGGCAAAACTTGCGGTAGTGTCCTGCCATACCGAGAAAACGCATGACATGTTTCTTGGTAGTTGGTTCTGGAAAGTTGGCTATAGCTTGTACCTTAGCATCAACTGCTTCGACTTTACCTTGACCCATGATTTGTCCTAAATAAGTAACTTGGCTGCAACCAAATTCAATTTTTAACAAATTGACTGTTAGATTAGCTTTGCTTAAACGTTGGAAGAATTCGTGTATAATCATTAAATGTTTTTCCCAAGTATCGCTGTAAATTATGACATCATCAATGTAACAATCAATACCATCAATGTCAGCAATGAGACTGGTGATAAGCCATTAAAAAGTTGCTGGAGAATTATGCATGCCAAATGGCATAACTTTGTATTGAAAGAGACCATGTGGTGTAACAAAAGCTGAAACTTCGTTAGCATGTTCAGTAAGAGGAATTTGCCAAAATCCCTTTAGTAAATCAAATTTATAAACATATTTAGCACTTTCAATTTGGTCAACACAATCATTCATCCGTGGAATCGGGTAATTGTCAGGTTTAGTCATGTGATATCGTTTTTGGGAATTTGGCAACAAGAGTTTCTATGTCGTGTTGTTTTCCATCATCAAGATGACCAAGTTTTAACTTTATATTTTGTAGTACATCAGAATTGTGTAGTTTGGTCGACTCAGACAGATCGTAGCGTTCTAGCCTTCCTTTAGCTCCAGGAAGCTCAACTTAGCAAGGGGATGGGTTGGTATATACTGCAATGTTTGCGCAGAAAGGAGATGAAATCCCGGTAGCGATTTGGTGCTCCAGCGCCCTTTGCTCGGGTCCCTTCGGGGAGATAACCCAAGACCTTCATAAGGGTCTTAACGCGTTTGATAATGTGCTCGGGTTGGCTGTCGATCAACTGAAGGACCTTCAGCCGCCACGCCTTTGGGATGAGGAAGGCCGACAGATAATTATCTGCCACCCGCTCAAGTCGCTGTGGGAGACCATCGACGATCCGGACTCGAATATGTTCCATTTTCTTCAAACATACGCTAAAAAATCTGGTGATATCTCTCCTGAACTTCTTACTCTAATTCTTGCTCAGATTTTTTCTGGTAATGACAGAGAAAGCAAAGCTTTCACTGAAAGTCCACCACAATAGATTTTTCGTCGCAATAATAGACAAATCGCTGATTGGTGCAGTCCATAGCGAGGATCGGGCGCTCACAGCGGGTCAAGAGTTTCTCGTACAGTTTGAAGATGAGAGCTGGTTTATTGCCCGTGCTGCCGAAGAGCGAATTAAGAAACCGCTTCACGTTCGACTTATCCGTGAATCGGAAGAGATAGAGAAAGTTTGTGTTAACCTTCATGTCCTTTATGTTGTCGAAGCTCTGGGAGAGGAAGAAGACGTTCAATTTCAGATGATGGCTATACATCGTAAAGAGGCATGACGGAATAATGCTTCAAGACCGTGTTAGGTTGGATATATTGATCAGCGGAGGTGTTCGAAATGACGTACAGACTTTTCGGACGAACGTGAGCAAGGAGCCGTTTCATGAAGAAGCTCTTGCCCATATTGCTCTGACCCAAGAGCAAAACATTCTGCCCCCATTTTGTGAGTGAAGGCAGAAGCCCGTCAAACCATTCTTTTTTGTGAAATTCAAGCCCGGGGATAGCGGGGTATTTGCCCCCACCAGTGCTAGTATCGCGTGCGATAACACTTGGAAGAACAGGAGGCGCAGGCGCCTGTGATGGCGTCGGGACGACTGACCCGGGGAATAACAGCCGAAAATCCATTTCGGAATGATATGCACCGCTCTAGGGGTCGAGGACGCGGCCTGCAAGGCCTGGGAGATGCTGTTGCTGATGGGCTGATGGAAACGTGAAGCCATCATGGGCGCCGAAGCAAGGACATTGGGTGCCAAACTTGTGGCTGACGATTTCAACCTAGAAATGGCCCTCGATTTTGTGCTCTATTGCCTGTGCTCTTTGCAGCATCTAGGAGCATGCTCTTGAATTCATCCAAACCGCTATTCTTCGCTCACCCCGTGGACTCTGTCGTGTCCCTACCGTTCTTCTAGGCGCTGCGCACTTCACCGCCCCCGTCTTCCGTCTTGTTGTCGACCTTGGCGCTGCGCGTGTTCTTTGAACCGTTCCCGTCGTCTTGTGAGTCTTTCCAGCCCTTGATCTTTTTGCAGCACCGCCCTTCGTCTGCTCACGGGATGGCACATATTCCACGCGGTAGTCGTCGGAGGGGTGAGACATGTTGCCGTTAAGAACACCCGCGCCGTAGATACTGTCAAAGGCGTTATCCCCCAGCGAGCGTAGCGCACCGAGGGCGAAGGGGATAGCGGCATTCTTCGCGTAAGGGGCCATCCTGGTGACGGCTCCCAACAGCCTTGGGCGGAAAGCCAATCCCCTGCTAATCATGATTTCAGTATGCCGTTCAGGTGGGGGCATCTTCATTTGGTTGGCTATCCAGTCTCCCACCCCCTTTCCCATCAGCATGGGGAGCAGGCTCAACCCTGCCAGCGCAGAAGGAAAGCCTGGCTTAAGTTGGCGTAGATCATAGCCAATCGGTTACTGGAGTCGGCGGTGGCATTTGGATTAAGTCCCGGTGCGTCTCCGAGCCTCGAGTTGGTGAAGAAGAGAATCATCTTCCTGGAGATCAAGGCATTGTTTAGAAGCGCGAGAGTGCCAGCGTCATGGTTCAACGACTTTTGAACTACCCTGGGGCACCAGGTGTGGAAATACAGCTCCTTAGCGATTGAGACCTAGTGGCTGTAGTCTTTTTTCATACGATAGGTTGGGTAGACAAAGTCGAGCTCCAGCAGTTCTATACATAATCTGCTAATAGCGTCTACGTTATTCGCCAAGCAATACGTGGACGCAATACGTGGGCAATTTTCAAGTAGCATAAGAAATGCAAAAAAACAAGAGTTGTGGGAGAAGATAACCTCGCAAGTAAACAGCTTGGGGTTTGAAAAATGCACGCGAAAAGAAGTGCGTGAAAAATGGAGAAACCTGGCACAGATTGCCAAAAAAACAAATGCTGGAATAATGAGATCCCAAAGAAAAACAGGGGAGGTCCTGCTACAAAATGGGTTTCTTTAACAGCAAAGAAAATCTTTTGGGAGATGAACCTTCCTTCTCAGGAACCCAAGATGGCTTCGAGTCTGGTGGTCCATTTGTAGATAATTATGATCTATAAAATCTCATTCTTTGAAATGCATAGAAGAATTCTACCTAAAAGAATAAGTAGGAGCAAGAAGCTATTTTGTTGTTGTCTCTTGTATATGTTTTAATACCTCACAAGGAACTTTAAATTTTCCCACCATTACGCTAAACACAATGTAATTTATAC